AACGCTACCGGGCGGGTTGTCTACAGGACCTCCGTGTAGGTTATGTTTCTAGCACATTTGTTGGGAGAGTAAATGAAAACCCTGTCCTTAGACCCAACTCGTGAGCACCCAACGTAAAGTTGGCCGTGAGAGAAGCACTGCTCACGTAAATGCAGACCTTCGATGCTAAGCGTGTGTCCTTATGATTTGTTAATGGACATAGCAAAGCAAAGTTTCACGGGAAATTGTGAGCGACGGAAGTTGATTGGTATGCTTGCGTCTGACGCCTCCTGGGAAGATGCCTCCTGGGAATCAGAACGACTTCCCCCTTGCCGCAGCCAGTTGCAATGGTCGCCTCAATGAGATTCGGAGAAAGAGATTTAATAATGAGGCGAGTCCTGTTACACTGTTTAGGTGGGAGCAAATTCCTGATTAGCATAATCGGAGCACCAACTTTGAGCCGAAGAATATGAGGTGGGAGTCCGGACGGCTGAAGGGAGTTCAAAACTTCTATGGGATACTCAGCTAATTCAGATGGATCGGAAGTTCTGTCGATGGACTTATAAACATGACATTGCCTGGGAATGCAATCCAACAGTTTAAGGTTGATGGAATCAACATACAGTTCTTCGTTGCCAATATGGCCATCCCAGCAAGCCAATCGGCATCGGCAAAATTGGGTGGATAGAAGACTGCATTCATCAATTCATCCGGTGATTCAACAGTGGTCGCAAGCTGATCCATCTGCACAAAACCCTGTCTGTTAGATGGCATTTTCCCCTCCCCAAGAGCAAGAAGGTCCCGTGCGAAGTCAGCGGATCTGGAGTCCCCATTCAAGTAGGCACGCATGTTCGTGCTCAATTTAAGAGTCTCCACGTGACGCCAAAGGGCAGACGACTTCAGGCAGGCGCGGATAGCGTCAGCGCGTGTACCTTTATGAATAACAGGTAGAGTCTGCCTAAAGTCGCCTGCGAGGAGAAGGGTTACTCCACCCATGGGGTCGGTGGAGTCGCGGATGTCTTGGAGACTTCGGTAAAGTGCCTCATGGGCGCCCTTGTGTGCCATCGTGCACTCATCCCAAACTATAAGTTTGCATCTCCGCAGAACATCAGCCTGTGGCGAACTCTTTGTTATATTGCAGAGAGGAGTTTGTGACCGGCATAGTTCAAGCGGCAACCTAAAAACCGAATGAGCGGTTCTACCTCGCGGTAGCAACGTTTCAGCAATCCCGGAAGATGCGACCGCAATAGCGATCTCCTCACGACGCCGTACCTCTGCCAGGACTAATTTAGTAACAAAAGTTTTGCCAGTTCCTCCAGGCGCATCTAAAAAGTATATACCTCCACTGGAGCCGTATGTTTGCCCTGTCTGTTAAGGTAGTGAAAGCTACCCTCTAATCAGGTAGAGGATTGGGCTCGTTTTCGGTAATGTATGCGTTCAGCCCCTCGATAGAGTTGGATGTTTTTCGCAATAACTCAGTTGGCACAGTGTCAAAACCGTCTCTGAGCGGTGGCGGTTAACCATGTTGGTAAAGAGTCACCTCCCAGTTCGAAAACAACATCTTCTAGGGCCACCAGCGCTCTGTTGAATATAAAGTCAGTGTAACCGCATTCAACTCCTGGGATGTTATGCTGAAGGGAAAACATCACATCCTCTGACATGAATTCTCTGTACTTTAGCCAGAGCGACAGAGGATCGCTTAGTTCGCATCGCAAAAGCCAAATGGCGAACAGTGTTCGAAGCCGTATTGGCGCACTGAGAAGTTCACACTCCGTCATGGCTGTATCCCATTGGTAGTCGTCTTCAAGCAATCCCAAACGGAAGCATGTCTCTCTATAAGACTAGCACTCTATTCTGTTAACAGTGCGAATATCTGTGAAATTCGTTGGCCCAGTAATTTCATGAACAAGAAGGCGGAGGTAAAAAGCACTCCTGCTGGCTCGGGGAGCACAGTATAACCGCGTCCAAGGCAAGAGTTAGACCTTACATCGGGATAATCCTCGACAGGTTGTTTGACCACACGTAGTTGGACGGTTATATCAATGTTTTGGCAAAAGCATCTGTTGAGCATAATTTAAAGAAAGCCATTAGGGTTGTGTCTTTAGAGTTTTCCGCAACCTGCTGAGCGTTTTGTTCGGTGAAGTACATCCTCTGTCCATTTTCTATGTGAACAGAAAACTTCACAATGTCTGGAGACCTTTGGTATAAATTCGCCAAAACGCCTGAGGTAGCGTCCAGCCACGTAATCGGCCACTTCGTCAAAGCAATTGTCGCGTCGGATACCGAAAACGGCAGCATCGCTGCCTTTATTAACTTACTTGCCGAGTGGCAGTATTCAACGTTTATGTGGGCTCCAAAAGTCTTGGACAGCAGCGGGCAATAAGGCACCACCCAACGTTTGTCTAAAGTGTGCCCCTTAACTGTCATAGTTCTGCCGCCCTCAGCGGGGCTTCTACGTCTGTACAGTGGGTAACCATCCGTCGCAATCTGCGTTTCTGAGATAAACTTACGGGGGTAACCCTTTGCGCAAGTGGGACCGCTTGACCAACATGACCTTTTTTCGTAATTCGCGCCATAGGGGCCGTGTATCATATTGTTTTTAATGATTTCGTGGAGCAAAGTATCCAGCGCAAGATCCGAAATTTCAGCAGAAATAAAATCGTCTATTTTATTTGCGTCAACCTTATCTCTAGAGGCGGCTGTAGCCCTACTATTCCTAAGACGACGTGAAGTTGTTTGTTCGAGGCTTTCTAAACACCTGGAGCAAGCTTTGGCGGTGGCATCCCGCAAACGACGAAGGGATTTCTGTGCTGGGGACTGTGAAGCCCTCAACCTAGCCACGCGGACTGCGTCCTGTGAATTCTGAAGTGAATGTTCTTCAACTGAAAGCCTGGCGCGGCGTGTGGCACCATTTACGGGGCAGAAAAGGAAAAGAAAGAAAAGAAGGCAGAAAGAACGGCGATACGAATCGTGGGTGATCAGCAGAACACACACACGGCTAAGAGACAATGGATATATTGATAAGCAACAAATGACGAAAGGGTGTCATTACAATGACAGGGAAATTCTGAGTAAAAAGAAAGGGAAAGAAAGAAAGAATCAGATGTGTTTTGATAACGGCTGTGTTATCTAGACGGGTACGCAAACAAACGGCTGGTCGACTGGCCAAAGAAAAAATTCAAGTGAAAATGTTATTTCGATAAGTGACTTTGGGTAGATATGGAAAAATTAATCGCGACACACACGAAGTAACCACACTGACCGATTTTCTTGCCGCAGAACATCTTTATGCCTGCGATAATAAAATTATGTTATCAAGAAATGTTCGCCAAAGAAAAGTCCAATTGAAAACGTTAATTTTGATAATTGACAAAACAGGTGTAACTACAGGGCTTTGGTAGATATGGAAAAATTAATCACGACACACACGAAGTAACTACACTGACCGATATTCTTGCCGCAGAACATCTTTGGCCTACGATAATAAAATTATGTTATCAGAAATATGTACCGAAAGAAAATGAATGGGGACACAGAAGTGTTTTTTCTTTTTGCTTCGAGGCGACAGAGTGACTGAAATTTTGGAGATGTTTCTTTTTTGAGGCCGTGTTAAGAAGCCACCCATTCTAAAAATTAGCGATAAAATACCTGACAAAAACCACGTGTAGAACAAGAGTTATGACCACCATTGTCATATTGTCCCGTTGCGGCTAGGGAAATGATAACGACGATTAAGAGGAAGAAAAGGGAAAGAGAAGAGATAATTTTTTTTTAGTTAAGCAAGATATTTTTTTTCCCGAAACAAAGCCGCGGATTATCCACGCCCGACTAAGACATCATTGGTCGAATGGTGATCACGTGACGCACGAAGGAGGCTGTCGACGCCTCATCCAGAGTATAGGTATGAGAAGCTTCTACGAGGAAGTGGGGAGGGCAGTTCACGCCCCTCTGAAGTATGGTGAGAAAGTGGGAGTAAGGAAAGGTTCCCAAAAATGGAAAAGAGTGGAAAATCCCTAACCAGAAATAAAAGAGGTGGATATGAATTTAGAATTATCGAGGAACCCCCGACGCCGACAGACCCACCCCTGTTTTGGTCGGCGTCCATAAAAGCGAAGCCCCTACGAGCAGAAATCAGTTCGGGCTCCGAGTTTCCAGAGTTGAGTTCCAGCAGTTCCAGTGAGATCAGCAGACCAAGATTCACGCAAATTCCGGACTCCTCTTCAACCCAAGAACAATTATTTTGAAGAGCGACTTAGAACCAGACCACTGAAATAAGTTTTTTTTTTCGACTTTCGTCCAAAGACACAGCGAAACACCAATTTCTTAGAGAGCAAAACAACTTGAAGCGTAAAACTTGCGTAACGGAAAACGACGTGTCACAATCCACAGAACGGGTCGGGAGATAGATGCAGTCCTATGTATCGAACAACTAGACATAAAGTTTGTTACCTTTTTCTTTGATACTTTGAACTTTTTGAGTTTTCATTTTATTTTCTTTTATGCATATTTGTGTAGTATCACCCCCGTTGAACTCAATTTGCATTACGGCCCCGACTACTGATTGATCTCGTCTGCCTAAGATCAGTTCACAACGTGGGGAGGCAGACTGGAGATCAATGCTTTTACCTTGGTAACCAGGCGTTGGAAGCGAGTTGGGAACGACGAGGCTGATATCAAATCTAACCAGATTCCCACCCGAATCACCAAAAAGTTAGAACGTCACATTTGGGTGCCGCGACCGATACCAAGCCAGTTGGTCGTCACAGGACGAGACAACACGACTGACGCGACAGGCGGACGTCACGTTTGGAGCAGCGACACCCGAACGGAGCAGCGAGGAGCGAACAGCTGGCGCCGCGGCGAGGACGTCACAATTGGTGCTGTTTGGGGACGTCACAACTGGTGCCGTGGTAGATCAGGATAGAACGTCACAGTTGGCGCTGCAACCAGGGAACGACGTCACAACTGGTGCCGTGACCATAGGATCGGACCCTGGAACGGCCACGTCACAGCGTGCGGACATGGTTGAAGCCGCTGAAGCCAACCTTTCAGTCCGTGCAGCGGCGCTTTCCGTAGATAAGCGAGCAGCTGAGCTCGAGGCCATCTGTAAAATATGCAAAGAAGTCTGTTCAGGGGTTTCATTCGCCCTCGCTGCTCCAGCAGCGGAGTCAGCTGCCATGCGCCTTCCCAAAAGTTTCCTCCTTTTAGGTGGCATCCAAATGGTAAAAACGTCAAAGAGGGTAAAGCTTAAAACGAGATTTCGACAAATCCAAAACGAAAAAACGTGCACTGTTAACGTAGACACAAAAAGGGGAAACCCAGTAAAATGAGTTCAGATGTTACTAAAGAGGAACTCGAAACTAAAAAAGTGGAAATTTAAAAAGGTAAACCAAGGGTAGATCCAAAAGAAAATGGGTTTTTAGTACAATTGGCTAACGTGTGTGGAGTTGGGTTGGAACTATAAAACAAAAAAGCAGCTAGAACACGTAATCAACAACTTGCGGTGTCCGAAAAGTAAGCCAATTGCGTGCACGCGGACAACAATAAACGCAAAAGTGTGAAAGCACGCCCGAGTCACGCAATAGAGGTGGTTGCCCTTGAGCGCACTTACACATAAGCTGTCGCGCGATCACGCGGGCGCTATAACGTGTGAGAACTGCGCGATGATTGGACAGGCCCCAATGTCAAGCTCTGTGAAAGCGACCAATGGGCTTGCAGCAGTCTCGGTATCGACACGCGAACCCGGTTGTACGCAGCTGTGTGTGTGTAAGGAAGTTACAAAAGAGATTGATCCGCGTGCAGCTACGTTTACTTTTGCCGAAAAATTCTGAAATTTGACACACATAAAGGCGATCGTAAGCCGCAAGTGTGTCGTAAATTTCATTTGAATCAAACCCAAACTGTACATACTGTGCCAGTGAATGTGTGTTCAGAGGGCTAAATCCTGTCCCTCGGTACCCCCGTTTATGGTTCCCTGGTCAAGCGGCTTTGACACTCTTGCAAACAATTTGGTACTTGTTAGATAGGCAAGCGTTAGTGCTATCAGAAACTGAACCATTTGCTTTGTTTTGGTGGCTCGGTAACAAAGCATCGTCCAAAGACTGCGAAAAATCTGCATAAATGGCCCTTACTCGTGCTTTCAAATTGATTTCGTGCAAAAACAATTGTGTTTTTCCAATTTCTGGCGCTGTCAGAACTACCGCCGTGTAATTTTACGTCGTCCTGTGAAGTTTTGTTGAAATCGGTCGAAAAATGTAGGCAATCCGATCCCATATATAAACGAACAGACTCACACTCACACACACACAACCTGGGTTTTATAATAAGTATGATATTATTATTATTATTGTTGTTATCATTATTATTATTATTATTGATATTATTATTATTGTTATTATTATCATAGTTGCTTTTGTTATTATTGTTATTATTATTATTATTATTATTATTATTACTTGCATTGTTTGTCCTTTTGTGGTTATTTCTCATCCAAGATGATTGACATGACTTAACCAGAAGGTTTTATCGTAAGTCCCAAAATGTTGTTTTTATTTTATGACACTAAACACATGACATCGTCTAAATTTTAGCAAAGTGAATGTACAGTTTCCAGTCAATTTTTTTCTCTCCTCACTGTCACTCCTACCACTATGCCCATCGCCCAAATGTCCGCCATTTTATTCGCTAGCAATTTCTTCGCTAATATATTTTGTTCTTTTTCCCACTAATTTCAAAAGATTTTTAATAATGTTTTTGTGGGGGTTGTTATTATATCAACTTTTATCGTCCGGTCCGTTATTTTTCATCTTCGATTTTTCTTTTTTTTTATCTTTTTAGTTCTTTTAATTTTTCCTTTCTTCTCTTTTGACGCCGTCATTTTACTTCTCTCTCATATTTTTCCTTCATCTTTTTCCCACGTTTTTCTTTTTCGCTAGTCTCGCTCACTTTCTCTATTTTTGTCTATCTATCTGTCTGTCTATCTCCCCCACCTCTCTCTCTCTCTCCCCCCCTCCTCTCTCTCTCTCTCCCCCCCCTCCTCTCTCTCTCTCCCTCCCCCACCTCTCTCTCTCTCTCTCTCCCCCCCCACCCTCTCTCTCTCTCCCCCTCTCTCTCTCCCCTCTCTCTCTCTCTCCCCACCTCTCTCTCTTCTCTCTTTCCCCCATTCTCTCTCTCTCTGATTTTTCTCTCTCGGTTCGTCGGTTCGTTTTTTTTTCCTGTTCAGATTTTTTTCTTTGACTTCTTCATATTTTCTTCTCAGTTGCCTTTTTTTTCTCCTTCGCTGCTACTTTGTTTTTTTCTTTTTGGTTCTTCCTCAGTTACGTTTTCTTTCTTTTTTTCTTCTCCTCCTCCTCCTCCTTCTTCTTCCTCTTCTTCTTCTTGACTCCGCCCCCTTCTCTTGACTTTCTGATTTTCTTTCCTCAGCTTCCTACATCCGTTTTCCCATGCTTGCTTTTTTCATTTTTTTCTCCTCCTCCTTCTTCTCCTCTTTCTTCTTCTTCTTCTTCTTCTTCTTCTTCTTCTTCTTCTTCTTCTTTCTGTTATTTCGCTCCTCTCTTTACTATCTTCATTTATCTTATTCTTCATTCATGTTTGCCTTTTCCGTGTACATCTTCTTCTTACCGCCTCCATCTTCTGTCCTTTACTTTTTCCTTCTCTCTTTTCTCTCCTGTCTTTCTTTTTCTCCCTCTCTCTCTCTCTCTCTCTCTCTTGATGTTACTCGCCTGTATTCCTGTTTCATTTTTGTCTTCTTTGTTTACTTTTTCTTCTATACTTTTTCTCGTCTTTCTTTTTCCCTCTCTGACCTGTATCATCATCATCATCATCATCATCATCATCATCATCTTCTTCGTCTTCTTCTTATTATTATTATTATTGTTGTTGTTGTTGTTGCTGTTGTTGTCAAGTAGTAACAGAATCTTCCGCTTTAATCGTAGATATATTAGTTGCGCTACCAGCAGGGAGTGCATGCATTTAGTAATTCCTGCTTGTGCAGTCAGAACGACACGACCTTGCTTCGCGGTGTTCAGCGCCGCTTGGCTTCATTCGTCTGCAACTTTTGATCGCTTCCTCAACTGATGTTCCAACATTACGCCACAGACTGACTCTGACGGCGAGTGACTACATCGGGACACGGACGCTCTGCCTAAACTTCTCGAAAAAAATCACTGCACGAAATCCGATCAAATTACTTCGGGCAGAATTCCAAAGATTTATCAAAGAAACAATTCTTGACTTACATCAATGATTTTTCAGTGTTGTGTAAAAAAAAAAAAAAAAAAACACTCAATCTTTTTCAACGCACTGAAATTGTTTAACAAGTTGTAGCTGGTAGCTTTCACTAGCAATCGTGTGACAGAAAATTCTTCAATAATCTCACACAGCGAGACACAAACTTATTGCCCAATACACCCTTTTTTCCATACCTCGGGATATCATCCCTGCTATCTATTAGGTTGGTGCAAAAATAAAGTCGTTTTTTACGTTAAGTTGAATGTCAAAAAACGACATTATTTTTGCATCAACCTAATAAGATTATACGACTCAAAAGGTTCATTACAAATAATACGCATATATTATTGAAAATCTTCATTTTTTTTCTCTTATTTTGCTTTGGTTTGGTTTATTTTGTTTTACGGCATATCAACACCTCAATGGGTTATTTAATGCCGACAACATTTTTTCCTTCAAAAATATTTTTCTGGTAATATTTTTTTCTTAAAATGTATCTCTGGTCATATTTTTTTCCCAAAAATGTATAGCTGCCAATATTTTTTTTTTTGAAAAATGCATTGCTGGTAATAATTTTATCTTCAAAAATATATTGGTAGTAATAATTTTTTACAAAGTATTTCTGGTATTAAAACCGCTTTTTAGACTTTCATAGTGTTTTGACGCCATTTTGGGGGTTAACTATTTGCCCATATCTGGGACCCTAACAGATGCTACCACCCTAGTTCAGAGTGGAGCTGGGAACACCAGCAATTAAGAGATGTTTCCATGCTCCTCAAAACTTCCTGATCAGAGATGTATATTATCGTCTTACCCAGAGCGGTGAAAATTTTTCATTTTTTTTTTCATATTGGTTTGGTTTGTTTTTTTTTGTTGTTTTTTTTTACGGTATATCAACCTAATGGGTTATTTAACTCCGACAAGTTTTTTTATCGCTGGTAATTTTTTTTCCAAAAAATGTATTGATGGTAATATTTTTTTCTTCCATAATGTAATGCTTGTAATAATTTTTTACAGAAAGATATTACTGTTATCAAAACCTATGTTTACACTTTCATAGTGTTTTAACCCCAGTGTGGTGGTTAACTATAGTTGGGACCCTAACAGGTGCTACCACAACGGGGCAAGGTAGGCCAGGGAACACAGGCAATAGAGACGTGGTTCCACGCTCCTCAAAACCTCCGGATCAGAGGCCTTGCTTTTGGATGTAGTTTACTCTCTTACTCAGGACGATTATATATATATATATAAACAAAAACGCTTTATATATATATATATATATATATATATATATATATATATATATAAACAACGAAGAGTAGAATAATTTTCCTACGCCCCCACACTGAAACCCTGAAATCCCTCTCAGGGTGACAATCTCCCCCTGGTTTGGAACTCCCGCTCTAGTCCTTATCAATTATTAAGCGAATATTCACACCTGCAGTATTTACTTAATTTCACTCGCGATCAAGTGTCAGACATCTAAAAACACAAGCATTTTCCTCAGTATTCTATTATTTTTATTATTAGTAATTATTTCTCAAAACCCCTAATCTGAGAAAGGTTAAAACTTGTAAGCAAAAACCCAAGGTGAGTTGCTGCTGTTACTTTAAATTCATTGTTGAATTGCTTTCCGGTGAAAGTATAAATATTAAATGTCCAATGTATTAATACGTTCAGCTTTCATAAATCATTATCAAAATGTATTCTTTTGTTCTATGTCAGTTTTAACGCTTTCCAAATATCACGTCTTCACGCGTAATGTAATTGTCGCGTCTTCACGTAATCAATAACACAAAAGAAATCATAATATCGTACAAACTGTAAATGTGACAACAAATGCGAGAAGCATTATTAAAAAAAAGCCAGCATTAATAAAATCTAAAAATTTAAGAACTAGCATCCTAAATATGTTCCATAAGTAAAAAAAAAAGTGACAGAAAAACACGAACTGCAACGTGAAAAGGTGATACTTGAAAAAACGAAATGACACGCGAAGATACGATATTTATAAATGACGGAACTGACATTGCACAAAAAGCAGAAAAAATCTGTTTGATAATTGTTTATGAAAGCTGAAAGTACTCAGACATTGGACATTTATACAGATTAAGTGTTTACTAAAGTTCTCATGTCCATTTTGGAAAACCAAAAACTCGTCTTATAAAGCGACTTTGATTGTTCCTTTATCATATGTTGTAAAAAGAAGAAAAAGAAAAATGGCGGATGAAAAGAAACATCTATCATGATTATATTTATTATTTGATATCCTCTGCAACTCTTAGATTTTCCGGACAGGTGCTGATAGCCATATCTCAGCTACCTCCTCCAAGAGCTTAGAGACAACACATTCCTCAGCACATGTGAAGGTCCAAGCAGTGCTGACATATACACACTCCCAATGATGTCATTTATCCTCATGGCGTCCACTGTACAAATAGATTCCTTGGTCGATCCCATCCAGAGGCACATTTTGAAAGTACCTGAAAACCATAGAACAGGTTGAAATTGTATAGACGGAACACTCGGGGGCCGTCTATAGCAGTGCTAGCACGAAGTCACAATTCATAGTGACCGAGAGCTTGAGTGTGCAGGGCTTGCTCAAACTGTTCATCAAGCTAGTTAACACGCTTTTCCCCATAAACTGTAACTGGTTAGCCGCCCTAGTAGACGGTTATCCTCGAATACGAGTGGCCATATATATATATATATATATATATATATATATATATATATATTATTATTATTATTATTATTATTATATATGTTATATATATATATATTATGCTACAATATACTCCATTGGGTATTGATGCATTGGATATATATATATATATATATATATATATATATATATATATATATATATATATATATATATATACAGAAATATAGTCTTAAGGTGTGCTATATTTATGAAATAAAGTGCTCAATATCAGAGATAGAGCGTGTGAATATAAAAGTGAACATAGAAGCCAACACTTAGAGGCGACAGTCTGTTTCATGCTATCGTCAGGCCACATATGCTGTTATTTTTCTCGGCTATTTATATATATACAGGTTAGTGGTGCATTGTGGGTATTCTATTATGGCGGTTATTTTACCGGAAGTCGTTTGTTTATTTATTTGGGTCAAATTATATTGCTCGTTTTTATTTTTTTGTTTCTTATTTTATTTATTTATTTATTAACGTAGTAAAAATTTGTTTATATCACTTATTTAACAGTTTTGTTTTGGTTTGAGGATTTAATTGAAGCTATTTCCTCAATTTTGGGGTTGGTTGTTGTAGTTCATTCTATTATTTTGGCGGGAACAGTTTTTAATTTGGGATTGGTTTGTCTATTTATTTACTTGGATGAATTTAGGTCAATTTATTTGTATATTTTCTCTTTTCGGTTTTATATATATATATATATATATATATATATATATAGTGATTTTTCAAGCGTAGCTCAGATGTGGTTCAAGACCGAACGTATGGGGATTCCAGTGAGGATCGAACTCTCTACTCAGTCGTAATTGATCTAGCAAGACAAGCTTTCTAAATATTTCAGTACGTCGAGGTACCCAATATAAAAATATATATATATATATATATATATATATATATGTGTGTGTGTGTGTGTGTGTGTGTTGTTGTATAAATATATATATATATATATATATATATATATATATATATATATATATATATATATAGTTTTATGTGTCTCTAAAACGCATTGATTCTACACTAAAAAGTTATCCTTCAAGGAAGCATTAATGATTTCTTCGTCGTCGAAAATTATTTTGGCATTCAGTGTCAATAACAGATACATCAGGAACGACATTGTATGAGACAAAACTGTCAATTTCCCAACCATTATTTAGCACCAAAAGACTTTATGTTTTTTTTAATGCCATTTCGCAATAACAGAGTTAAATAGCATCATGAATCATGAAGAGTATATTTTCAACAGAATATGAAGAACATATTAAGAGGATGTTGATATTTTTACGATCTCATTGTTTGAAAAACAACAATAAGAAGAAGAAAGAGTGATCTTGTTTGTATTTTTGTTTGTTCTTTGAGATGTCATGAAGCCATTTCTGATCTTTGTCCTCTGGTTGAAATCAGGAGAGAAATTGGCATACAACAAAAATTAAATAAATATAATAATAAATAATGATAATAAAACAAATATACCTACAGACATAACAAGATAACGAAATATGTGCACTGAAAGATATGCAAGAAGCATAAATTCGAAACCACTGAGAGATGGTATGAGCAATCACGAACAAGAGACATTTACCCAAAATAATGATGTAACTATCCTCTGGGACATGCCTATTCAAAACTGACAGGGAAATAAAAAACCAACAGACCTGATATTATCATAAAAGACAAGAAATGCAGAAGGTGTATGCTTATTGACATAGCAGTAATATCTGAGAGAAACACCCTCAGGAAAATTATCGAGAAATTGTCCAAATACAAGAACCTGGATATCGAGATTAACAGGATGTGGGGATTGAAGATTCAGACTGTACCAATAGTAATCGGAGCAGTGGGCTTCGTGAGAAAAGGAATTGACACTTTTACTAACAGTGTACCAGGTAATATCAACATTCAAGTTGCCCAGCAGATCGCCCTACTAAGAATGTCCCATGTACTAAGAAAAGTGCTATCAATTACAATGCAGGAAACATAACATGCACAAATAATAATAATAATAATAATAATAATAATAATAATAATTTAAAAAAACAGAATATCAGCTCTAAACACCATGGTTGTCAAGTGGTTCAATACAGTTTCAACGTCCTTAACTAGGCTATAGCTTACTTTAAGAGAATGGACGCCAAAACGAGAAAGTCTCTCACCTACCACCGCATGCATCGGCCCAAGGCTGATGTTGATCATCTGTATGTGTGCAGATCTGAAGGAGGCAGAGGATTAGTTCAACTAGAATTGTCTTACAGAACTACAATAATTGGCCTACAAAGATACCTGGAAACTACGGATTAGATAATGATCTGTGCCAAAGAAACATGAAAGAAGAAAATTCATTGAATAATAAATTTGAAAATGGAGTTTCACATGGGTGAATAAATACAAGTAAAGCATAATACACCGACTGCAACTGCAAAATACTTAAAAAGAAAGCAAAAGCAAATGGAACCAATCAGATACAGAAACGATGCCAAGATAAATCGCTTCACGGTCAATATTCTGTCCGTACAAAACAAGCTGAAGTAGACAGTGGTTACGTAGTGCAGGGTTAAAAGCTGAAACAGGTTTTATTCTTGTTGCTGTAACTGAAATTTCCAAACACACATGCTGAAAAATTGTGTTAGCCCAAAATGTAGATTCTCTTATAAATATCCAGAAACATTTGACCATGTTGTATCAGGCTGCACGGTATTGGCACCAAATGAATATACAATCAGGCATGACAGAGCGGGCTAATATCTACACTGGAAAATCTTTAACTTTTACTGCAAGCAATTGATATGAACACCACCCAGATTCGGGTACAGAGATACGACCTGTAACAATTTTATGGGACGTTAAAATATACACAATCAAAGCTAATCGCCCTGACATCGTGATTAGAGACCGCAAAGACAAAATGTGCTTTCTTATTGACATGGTGGTTGATGCAGATTGTAAAGTATTTTTGAACACCTTCAAAAAAAAAACTATAAGGATCTTGAAGGGAAAATCACAAAAAATGATGCACATGAGGACATTAACAATCCCAGTAATAGTTGGAGCACTCGAATTGATTGGATAAGTTTCCAGTAGACGCATCGATGGATTCACGGTTGCACATACCTTAAAGCAATACAAAAATGTTCTCACGAAGGGCTTTATTTATGTAAAATATGTGATTTTTATTTTTATTTTTTTATTTTTTTTGCCTGTGGAAAATGTCATGATGTCATTTCTGACCTCAGGTCTTTTGTCTGGACCCGGAAAGAAGTGAATATAAACCAGAGACCAAAGGAAATAATAATAATAATAATAATAATAATAATAATAATAATAAGAAGAAGAAGAAGAAGAAGAAAGAATTCTCAAATATATGGCATATGAGAAATTCAACAATCCTTGTTGTAGTTGGAGCCCTAGGACTGGTTGGAAAAGATTCCAGTAGACTAATTGAAGGGATTCCTGGAAGTCCATGCCTCAAAGAGATACAAAAAAATTGTTCTGACAAGTACAGCCCACACGTTACGAAGGGTTTTATCTATGTAATTTTTTTTTTTTTTTTTTTTAGTCAGTGGAAAGTGTCATAACGCCATTCCTAACCTAAGGTCCCTGGGCGGGACCCGGAAAGAAATGTGTAAACGCCAGAAATCTAAGAAAATAATAATGATAATAATCTATCTATATGCAAGGATCTTGAAGGGGAAGTCACCAAAACGTGACACATGAGGAGATCAATAATTCCACTTGTATTTGAAGCGCTCGCATTGATTAGAAAAGGTTTTGATACATTCATTGAAGGAATTCCTTGTAGCTCATGCCTTAAAGAAATACAATAGATCTTATCACATGTACAGGTCACACCTTACGAAGGGCTTTATCTATGCAAAATGTGTTATATTATGTCTATTTTTTCAGATCAGTGGATTTAAATCCGGAAGGAAATAATAATAATAATAATAATAATAATAGTAAACGCCCTGATGTTACACAAGACATGTCTATCATGGCTTCTGGTCTAACTTTATTAGAGACGTTAAAATGTTTTGTCTTGGTGAATTAAGATGCGCTACAGTTTATATCACCTATAGTGCCATGGATTTGTTTCTCAGAGTCTTGACCTTAACTAGTTGGTCATGTCCCCCAAGAGGCTTAATGCCCTTGTGCATCATTGTTCGTGATCGGTAGGGGAGGTAGGATGGGCATCTTAACCGCGTGTTGGGAGGCTTGATTTGAAGGATGAAGCGGCCAAAAAAACCTGGGAATTATATGTAGATACTTGGGAAAATCATCAATCGAAGACGCTCTGAATATATTGTGTAGCCCAATCTTAAGTTATTTTTAACTGGACCACACCTGTTTTTATCAAAACCTCTGACGACGTCATTCATAATTGGCAGTGATGTCCGTTCCAGAAATACCTTTACCAGGCTGGGTGTGACCAATGGGTATACTGAGATTCCTATCTATTTATATTATTTACATTATTCAGGCGAATGTAAATAGTGTAGTTAAAATACTTAATCTCAGAAATATAGGCGGATGGACTTTGTATATCTGTACCACAGAATCACTTTATGAGCATTCGTTGTACGTTTTCAATAATAATAATAATAGTAGAAGTAGTAGTAGTAGTAGTAAATACCATGATATTGGCTTCGAATCTTAATTGATTGCAGGGGTTAACAGGTACAGGATGCGATGGATAAAATGTTTAAATTACACGAAATGAAAATAGTGCTGACATCTCATTTTAAAAGAGATATTTACCAAAATTACACTAAGATATCTTGAAATATTGAACAGCAGATTTATTCAATAAAATCGTCATTTGGCTTCAACCATGGCCTCCAGATGACTTCGGAATCTCCTCCAGCTCTCCTGGACGGTATCCTTGTTTAAATTGGCGAAGGCCGCCATAATCCTTCATCATAATCCTTCATAATCCTTAATCAGTTCATCTTTGTTGTTACAAGGAGTTTTATTAGTCTCTAGCTTAAATACGCTGCACACATAATAAAGGAGAAGGTTGCTATCTGCAGAGTTAGGTGGCTAGATGTAAAGGGTGATGTGGCCGCAGAAATTGTCAGACAGCCATGATTAGGGTTCTCCTGTTGGTGTGGCATGGTGCAGAGTCCTGTTGCCAGACATAGCGTCTTCCAGCAGCAACCCTCTTGACCAATGGCAGCACTACCTCCTCAAGTATTTATTGAGTCCATGTTGAGTCTGATTCCCTGTGAGAAGATGAATGGAGGCATAACGTCACCATCAGACTCATCCAAGTCTTTCCGAATTCTCTGCACTGTCATCAGATCGACACCCAAAAACTCTGAAATGTTTATACTGTAGTTTTCGACACGAATACCACGCAGTACACCATGACGTTTCCAAATTTTGACGGAGTGAATTGTGTCATGGTGCTCTTTTTCTTACAGACGTTTCCCAACTGACCCTACTTTTACATGAGCAGTCGACAACTCAAAAACAGACAACGCGCATGCTCGAAATTAAAAATATAAAATGGCGACAATACATTAAAATTGGTTAGTAAAAAACCCGTTCAGCACCGGAGACTTGATTATTAGTTGCCAGACCATAACCAGTTGAACATATCCCCTAGGGACTGACGAAATGTGCTTCTCAACTCATGGGTCAACTTTTTTTGCTTCCTTGTTTATTTCTTGTCTGTTTTTCTTGCTTTCTTTTGTTCCATTTAAACCAGCTTAATTTCCCCCTTTTCCTTTTTCTCTAATTCTTTCACAGATGCCTTCTTCCTCAACCGTCTCTTCCCTTTTTGGATTTAATCCTTCCATAATCTTTCTGTTTCCTCAAGTCATTTTATTTGCTTTTTTTCTTTTTTTTTATCTTTCATTATTCTCTTCTTCCATGCCTTTCTCTTTCAATTTGATTTTCCTTTTTTTCATTCTTGCCTTCATCGTGAATCGCTGCTTTTATTCTTTTTTTTAAAATTCACACCTTTTCCTTTCCTTATTCGCTTATTCATGTCTTTTTCTTTCCTTTGTCTTTTTCTATATTTGTTTCACTCTTGCCTTCATCGTGAATCGATCCTTTTCCTTTTTCTTTTAAATTCACACCTTTTTTTTTTCATTATTCGCTTATCTATGTCTTTTTATTTCCTCTGTCTTTTTCTGCATTCGTTTCATTCTTGCCTTCATCGTCATCAGCTCCTTTCATTTTTTTTTCTTTTAAAGCACACCTTTTTATTTCATTATTCGCTTCTTCTTCTTCTTTGCCTTTTACTTTCCTTGCTCTTTTTTATACCTTCTTTTCACTCTTGCCATCATCGTCAACAGATCCCATTTCTGTTCAGATCACATCTTTCTCTTGGCACCTTGACATTTTTCTGTTTTCTTTCTCTCTTCTTTATGTAAAGTTATTTTTTTTTTGTTTGTTTTCATCCCGGGCTGATATCCAAATTCTAAAGAAACCGTTAGCTAATGTTTATGACTCGTCGCTTCTCCAGGAAACCAAATCAAAAATTGTAATTTGCTGACGGCTGTCCGTCTGCTGATAATTAAGGACAAAATCAGCTTTTAGAATATCCTTAATCTGTCAAATCTTTTATTTTCGCTGAGATTGTCATTTTGTTTCTACTCGATACTCTTGTAAGGTGGTTTGAAGTTGATAGTCAAAAGTATTGTTAATGACAATAGCATTTTATTTAAGGCAGAAAAAGATTTTAGAAATAGCATAAAAACGCTCTATTTTTCATTTATTCTTTTCGTTTTACGTTTTCTATAATTTTTTTTCTATTTCCCGCTTACTTGTTGGCCATCTTAATCTTAACTTCTTACTTTTTTACTTTTCTAAATTCTCCGTTTTAATTTCATCATGGTTTCTTATTTCTTAATTTTACCCACGTTCCTGTATTTGCCTGCCAATATCTATTCTTCTCATTGTTGTTTTCGCATAGGTGTATGACTGTTTTTATCTGTTATTTATATCGGTAGAGTGATCTTATCCCATGATCTATCTATCTATCTATCTATCTATCTATCTATCTATCTATCTATCTATCTATCTATCTATCTATCTATCTATGTGTATTCATAGATATTCATCATTCTCTTTTATCTATCTATCTATCACAGTATTTATTTATCTATTTATCTATGTATCACAGTATCTATCTACCTATCTATCTATCTAGGTTTACAGATATCCATCTTATTTTTTATCTATCTATCTATCTATCTATCTATCTATCTATCTATCTATCTATCTATCTATCTATCTATCTATTTCATTCACTAGATATCCATCATATTTCATCTATGTTCACAGATATCCATCTATCTATCTATCTATCTATCTATCTATCTATCTATCTATCTATCTATGTTCACAGATATCCATCATATTTCCTTCTATCTATCTATCTATCTATCTATCTATCTATCTATCTATCTATCTATCTAAGAGTGTTCACAGATACACATCATAGTTTTTTGTATCTATCTGCGTTAGAGATATCATCTTCGTTTCTTCTATCTATCTATCTATCTATCTATCTATCTATCTATCTATCTATCTATCTATCTATCTATACCAGTCTATCGTATCTATGCATTTATGTATCCATCTATCTATACCAGTTTGTTCATATCTATCTCTATTCCACACTGGGTCTCATGGTCAGAAAAAATAATGCTCATCGGATAGACAAAACAATTTGGGAGACGTCGGTGGTTATGCTAGCACAAAATCATGAGTCATCGTGACCGAGGTTTTGGGTGTGCTGGCCTTGTTCAGATTGTTGATCACGTTAGATAACGCGCTCTCTCCCAAAAACTATAACTAAAGTCTGCTCAGCATAGTTGCAGTTTAAATCACAGGTGGTTGTTGAACAAGCACAAATGTGCCTGAGCGGGTGTCTACAGCAGGAATTACCTAGCCGCCATAATAGATAGGCATCCTCAGATACGAGAGGCCTGCGATTCTCTCTCTCTCTCTCTCTCTCTCTCTCTCTATATATATATATATATATATATATATATATATATATTGGGCCTTCCTGGCAACAGGTAAGGAGGAGTAGATGCGATAGGCAACAATAAACTACAAAAACTACTCAAAATTGATCAGTGCATTGATGTATTGCATTTAAGCTTACCTTTTAAAAGTTCAGTTCTTCTGCCGTCGCTTACTTTAAAGGCAATAAGATGTATGTAGGTCCTTACTTTCCATGCAAACAATTATTTTTATTTCATGGATGATTTTTGCTGAATTTCGCAGTTAATTTCGATTATTTCCAAAGTTACAAAAATTGTTATCGAACAAAAAATTAACCGCAAAAAAAAATCACGTAAAAGCATCGACGAAAACAATCGGAGTAATGAAAACTTGGGAATCCAGAATTTCAGGATTGCCTATCTATCTATCTATCTATCTATCTATCTATCTATCTATCTATCTATCTATCTTTCTTTCTATCTATCTTTCTTTCTTTCTAGCTATCTAACTCACTCTGTTTATATCTATCTCATGTGCATATCTACCTCTCTCTCTCTATCTCTTTCTCTCTCTTTTGTCACTGTCCCCCCTCTGGTTGCTTCACATTTTTCTGCTCTTTATCAGCTTCTCCCCCCTCCTCTGGTTGCTTCTGTCAGCTTCTCTCGCAGTTTCTCTCGCAGTCTCTCTTTCAATATCTTTCTTTCTCTTTTGATCACGCCTGCTTTCTACTTCCTGGTCAAAGCCGAGAAATTTTCCCTGTGATCTGAAAATCAAAAATTGTTTGTTTCATGTCTGTTTGTTGTTTTTTTTTTTTTTTTTTTTTTACTTCTTTCCCGATCTTTACATATAAATGTCACACTGAATTTAAAACCAACATTTTTGATACTGTATCTTTGGCATTTTTTTTTTTTTTGGTCTCGCATTATGCAAAATAGAATTGGGTCAGGTTCGACTTCAACGTATTGTCGTCATACACGAACGCACACGCTTCTGGCCGAGATGGATTGCTACGTTGTTGTTCCCCCAATAACATCAGTAATATTTCCCATTTGCTCTTACAGTAAAAAGTAACATGTACGCCCATAAATATACATACACACACGAACACATACATTCAGATATACACGCCCACAGCCCTTCCTGTGACACTCACATCCATGTTTGTTTTAAGGGGTGCTGAGAAAACTCTCTTCCCCTTCATGAACCGATTCCAACGCACACACACACATGATCAATTTGTCAAAGAGGTGAACTTTAATTGGCACTGTTCCGGGGCAGACGATCTCAGATGCGACAACATGTACCTGAAACCACGGTATTTATTTTTTTAACCGTGCGATATGAGTGAAAGTAGGTACACCCTTGTGCAAATCAATTGAAAACAACCGCTTTCGTTCACCATACGATCAGTTTTAGACCGACCTGAGTGGCACGGTGAAATCAATATCATTTTTTCCTCAGATTAGGTCATGCGCAGTGGCGTGCAGCAATATGACTGTTTTCCTTATGGTGAAATTTGAAAAATATTGCGTTTTCCGCGATTGCATGAGATTTTATCACGCCCAGATACTATTGGCTCGACTGTCGAGTATTTGTCCTAAGGTCATTGTCTGCAATGGACATTACTCTAGGTAAGCGTTGGAAAATTGAAACGCTGCACGAACACATTGGCAAGCCATACCAGTGAGCAAATCAAAGTACTATAGATTACCCAGGAAACCCTCCTAATTTAAATCCAATCGAGAATATGTGGTCAATCTGCAGGGAATAATTTCTTATAGCTCAATATCAGAATAGAGCAATAAAATAATGAGTACAGAGCTCAATGTAAGAACAAAGTAATATAATAATGAGTACATAGCTCAATGTAAGAACCGAGTAGTATAATAATTAGTACATAGCTCAGTGTAAGGACAATGTTATATAATAATGTATTTTTAATGATTTTGTACTCATTATATATATATATATATATATATATATATATATATATATATATATATATATATATAGGTTTTCTTGAAAAGCAATGAAAGTTCTTTCTTCGGATTTTTTTTTTTTTAATTTCTCTACTTTCTATATAGTTTGTCATATATTTACTCTATCGTTTATTTACATTTTAAACCGGAAAAGCGTTCTAAAGGTGAGAAATGCGTGAAATAAGAAACTATTAGAATGGAACTTACGATTAAATCTGTCGAGTTCAGCAGTAAAACTGACGGACCCTAACATCACAAATAATCGTACGCTTAAAAGGTTGGGACTACATTTCTGGTTACCGGTTAAATTTTCTCATAAATTTGCCATGGTGAAATATTCAACATTTATAAGCCAACTAGCAGCATGGCCCGGCGTTGCCAGTGCTTGATTCAAAAATCGTACGACTCATACAGCAATCGCTATCACTTGACTTAAAATATTTTTGCCCTTCCTTGCCTTTAAAGGAGTGCCCTTTGCTGTGCTGATGTTGCTACATGCCTTACTTCTTGCTTATCTCACACTGCGATTTTTTTCTAAGCTCTATACTAAACATTAAATCTGTTACGAAAAAAGAACTAAACAAAATGAACACAAAACGATCAGCTTTAAAAAAAGGACTCGTAACTGGAAAAACAGAATGAAAAAAAGGATGTTAACAACAAATACTTTTTCACACCCAACCCAGTTCTGCGGAATCAGAATCAACGTTGAGTTTAAGCAAGCGAATGACCCAATTGGAGTAAAGTGCCATGCAGATTTAAATTTTTCCCACAAATGAAGCTATCGATTTTTTTTGCATGCTAACATGCTAGTTAACATTCGTGTCAGTCAGCTGTTGGCTCTCACGCTGGCCAGTAGAATCTTCCTGCCTATTCGTGGCATCCAGCTATAGGATCTCACTCTGGCCAGTAGAAAATGGCCGCAAACTACATGAAAACTGCCGTAGAAGCATGAAAAAATCGATTATTTCCACTATCGATGGGAGTTGGGAAATGCAACGTCGGTGTTGGCCTTCCGCTAACTTGGAGCATGTGCATGTAAATTTTGGTGCAAATCCGTCGAAAATTGCGGCCGTGCATTCGTTACACACACACACACACACGCACACACACACACATCCTGCCTTTTATAGATAGAGGATATAACAAAGGAGGTGGAACTTGATCTCCTAATCCCCAAACCTCTTCCCCGAGCACCTAACAGTAGGCTTACGTCGGATTCCAATATCCTGGATTAGAATCTAAACTGTGCCAACTCCAAATTCTTGAGAGTTTAGTTTCTATAGCGTTCACTCTCAAAGGCTTTCAAGACCAGTGCACTAAATATGAATACTAAAGCTATGATGAAAGAATGAACACCTCTGAAAAAAAACAAAAAAAACGGAATTCAAGGAATAACAAAAAAGAATTATATTAAAACTTGTCAACCTAGCAGAGCGGAAATAAAAAGCGATATAACATCGCTATTCTGCATTATTCTGCAATTCATAATAGTTGTCGTTATGTGCGACCGTTCATCAGAAAGATCAGTTTCCAAATAGATCCATGCCATTGGCTGACGCTGTCAACAGCGAAAAAAAGAATATTATCAATATTAAAGACGAAAAAGATTTCAGTCATTTTTTTCGTTTTTTTTGTTTGTTTTTTTCCAGTGAACAATTTAAAAAGAAATATCTTTGCATTCAGCATCAAAGAATAGCATTTACCTGTTTTCAAATGGAGCAAACATGGCGGAGTAGAAGCCATAGCTTAGCTTTGATATTGCGTGTCACTCGTCAAATGTTATTCCAAGTCACGTCTGTTTGACTTGGACGAGAAGTGCGAATATTTCTTTGTGGAGATTATTCATTTAAGATTTCGAGAATATTTCATTCTTCATGCCTTCCGATTTTTATAAATTTTAGTAGTATAGAATATGGGTCAATTTGTAACGCATTATGCTAGTGAAATCAACAAAAACATATTGAATAATATCACTCCACATTAGAATTTTAAGATTACTCCAATTGTTTGCCAAAGAAATTACACTAACGACCGTTACGTTGCATTTCCAGAGTAATATATAAAGAAATATCTATCATTTTTTTCTCTTTTAGCTAAAACATGTCTTGGAGTAGAATGTATCTTGTTCGATATTTTTTTTTTGGTGCGGGGGGGTCATTTCAGCCCCAAACGAATTTAATGTCACGTTGAATACAACACAACACCTAACTTTACTCGACTACTCACCAGTATATCTAATAATTCCATCAACAGAGAAATCTGTAAGTCTCTCACTATTCTCTGGGAACTTTACAAATACGTACGTACAAAAAATGCATCGCTACACACAAAACAGAATCATTTACCCCCTTCCATTATTTCTGTCCAATTTTCTCAGGCAATACGCTGTCGTTAATTTCACATAATTGTTTGTAAAATCATTTTCAATCTGTTGTTTGAGGAAACTCCCATGTGTCCGCAGATCTATCAAATAATCTTAATCACCAATCACCGTAACAAAATATTCATCATATATCTATTTTAAATGGTCATCCCGGAAAGGAACATGTATATCTTCGTAAGATCATGAAATCTTTCTGACGAAAGAACAAGGCATTCTAAACACAATTCGATAAACATATATTACTCTACATCTCTCTCACAAAATGTATCCTTTCGACAAATAATAATAATATTTCAACATGGTCTATCGAGCTATCTACCAATTTATCCACGCGCTATTGATTATTTCCAAGAGATAGATTCTCACTGGTGCTGTTTTTAAAACTCATTCCATGGTGGCATTGAGCCCACTTTGTCCCTCCAGCTCACTGGGTCTTGGCAGAACGGCGGGACATCCTCCAGCACCGGATTAATCTTCTGGACGTTCCTCCAGCGGCTGTGTGGTCTGCCGCGAAGTCGTAGTCAGTTTGCAATATGGCGGGTGATGATTCTGGTAAGGTAGTCATCAGCTCATCACAGGACGTGAACGAGTCAGCGAACACGGCGCTAAGCGTTGGTGCGAAGCATATTCGGCTGGTCGGTTCCATTTGGAGAGAAGATCGGACCAGTGTCGATGATCCTGAGGGCGCAGGCCTAGAAGCCATAGAGAAGAGGCTCTTGCTGAGAGGCCATATCCTGGTGCCGTATAGTAGCATGGAAATCACTTGCTGGGTGCCTCAGCAGATGATGCGAAGTAGTTGCCTCCAGAGGTCTTTCTTGACACGCGCAACCAGCCTACGTCTTCTTTTGATCTCCGTAATGAGGTCACCGGTATTGGAAACTCCTAAGCATAAGTATACGAAAGACGTGGCGACTTCGACGGGATTACTGCCAACGATGATGAGGGGGTTGATCAGTGTCGTCTATGGATCTCAGCTTGCTCTTCTTGACTAGAGTTATATTTGAGAGCATGTATGAATTGTCTTCTCAAATGATTGATATCTTAGCATCATTACACTGTATATGTTTTGGCTTAGACTAGTATGACGCAAGAATCGTAAGCTTGACGTGTTCAGTGGCGTCGAATTCGCCCTAGTTTCCTGCAGTGAAAGAATAATGCATTATTCAGTTCCGTACAAAGGACCTAACTCCAGGAAACATCATCATCATTATTGTTGCACCGGCCTCTAACACAAGGAAATTACACCGGTTCTCACTATATATAGTGCCAGTAATACCTACCCGGTGTAAGCAACGACAGTACTACAACTGCCTAGCTGAGTAGTACCCGTTTCCTACCTTTGTATCTGTGATGTTAAATACACTTGTTCTTTAAACCAACGTCGACTTGATTTTCTT